TAACATGCACCTTGATCCACGAGAATCAATTTATATACATTCCGCCAAACGTATAAAGTGGAGAGTGCTCAATATAGCGGTCTACTGTCTTTGTTGGCTTCAACTTGATTTTATGATGCGCGACCATGCATAATACATAATACAACTGGAAAATCCTATTTACTTACACAACTAAAAAAGTTAGATGTGTCGCACAATCACCATGATTTTCTTTTCACACAAAGCAAAGAAGATATTTCGTTTGAACGGATTAATGCATCTGCATTTATGTGCCTCTTTTGCCACGCATAGTATGAAATTTATCTTACATTCTCATCGCTCAGAGAGTTGCCATCGAGAAACATCAAAACAACTTAGCTGTCAACTACATATGCTGAACAAGTATTTTTATCGGAAAAAATTCATAGGCAGAGAGGCAGGCATTTGTAAATGAATTAAAGCCTACCTCAATTATAAATGAATTTATGTTCCAAGAGAAGACTTTCTGCTTATGAAGATTGCTACTCCGCAAGTTTATCATCTCTTGTACTTCGCATTTATTTCCCTTGCGGACGGGATGAATTTTCGGCTAAATAGTTTCTCTTATTCTGTAACGCCTAGAAATTCATAGAGGAAGATGGACGAACTTAAATACGTTAAGGCAAGTACGTTTTCGTTAAAGATTTTATTCTGATTGGTTCATGCCAATTCTCAGGGATGCAATTAGTGCCGTAAAAAGTTACTCTCATGGTTATTTAATATGCAAAGTAGCTATGACAAGAAAAAGGAATGAACCAATTATGCGATGGTTGTGTAAGTAAATGTTTATGATTGATTCAAAGAACTATGTTATGATAAACAGCATGTGTAGAAATGAAAACTGTATGGACCTAATCATTGTTGTGCTCGTCCCTATCACAGTATAGGGAACATACAGTAGGTCCACTTCGTGCGGAACTGGTTACTGTATGTTTGATTAGATTACTGGCTGCCGTTAACCATCCCATCATTCCTATTGATAAAAAAAACCTAATTGACTGGCTGCCACAATGGTAATCACATGTGTAATAAGATATGCATGGCGCTAAAAATTTCAATAGAGTGGCTCTATTGTATATTCACTATACTGTGTCCCTATTGTTTCATTCATCAAACAGGAAACTCCATTCTTCTTAAATAGGTTGACCTACATCGCAGTACGGGAAACATTGGGCCACTTTAATAAATTGTTATGTGGAGCTCGTATCTTATTACGCATGTGATTGCTGTTACCGTGTCCAGTCAGTTGAATTGACCAAAGGTAACACTGAAATGGCAAAACACAACAAGAAATCTATAACTAAATTAATATACAGCTTGGAATTGCCCAGTGAGGAGGTGCAACTATTTATTTATTACTCTTTGTTTGCAAGCAATCCCTTGGATTAACACCCCCGATGGTGCCCCAAAAAAGATTAATAACGTACTCACTTTCCTAAAACATACAACATGGCCGCCAGACAGAACATCAATACCGTGCCATCCCAAACAGACCGAGTAAACGCCTCACAGGCGTCTCGTTTTCATTATATAAGTTGATTATTGTGTGTTCATCTTTAATTTTGCTTACTTTATAAAATAAAGATTCAGCAGATGTGTCGTATTCTGTTCAAATTGAGGATGTAAATTTGTAATATAGTTATTTCGCTCGCTGCGAGATAAAACCTTAGCTTGATTAATTACTCTGGAGAGTGCTGGGTTGCAGTGTAGCGTCGCTGGGTTGTAGCGCCGGTATGAAAAAATAAAATTTTGTTTATAGATTTGTATTCAGTGCAATCACTGTTAACAATTGTATTCAGTGCAATCACAATTACAATCATCTGGACAGAACTCTGATCGAAGAGATTGCGTGCGATATCGTCCCTGCACTCTTTCAGAAGACAGACGATCGAGACGAATTTATGGAAATCGGGCTTAAAAGCCTTAATAAACGTCTCTTAAAAATGCAAAATTATATTAAAAATATTAATCATTCAAGGTGCATTTGCCGATATCAAACAATTTCTTAATATCATATAAATGTTTTTTTTTATCACAGATATTTTAATGAATTTTTATGGCATGCTGTTTGCATCATCAGTATATAAAACCTAAAAACAATAACTCCATACCTAATAATCGTTAAAAGGAACAGGCATTGAAACGTTAAACATGGCGTATGAATTGAATCGAGTTCTTACTAAAATTACCGTTCCTATTGCACTATTTGGTATCATTGGCAACTCTCTCGTGATCATCTCAATATTACGACGACGAAGTTTGTTGACGAGCAACTACTACTTTCTTGTTTTAAATCTTGCCTTCTGTGATGGCACTCTGTTGGTTCTAGATTTTATGGCATTGATAACCCAACTTCATATTAAAAGCTTCAGAGCTACCAAAACATTTTGTCTTGTTATTGCAACAAGATACATTCTTGCAGAAGCAGGAGCTCTTATGATGTTGATTATATCCATTCTACGTTATCGTGCCTCTGCATATCCTTTAAAGATTCCTATCAGCAAAGGAAAATTAAAAATGATTTGTGTTATAGTTTACATTGCATCGTTCATACTGGGCTATGTATTGCATGTTCCATATTGCACGGACAATAATGAGCGTAATGTGATTTTGAAAATACAACGTTTTTTACTCATCTTCGGTTCTTTCCTTTGCAATATAGCAATTGCCGTAAGCTATTATAGAATCGCACGAGTACTTCATAACCAAAGAAATAAATTTAATATTTCACAAGATCAGAATGCAGTCACCTCTTCCTTCATCAAACAAAGATATCGTCGAAATCGTAAGATATTCTGTGTTTGTTGCATGACATTTATCTTTTACACGATTGGGCATACCCCAATGGCCATCGCATTCCTTCTTTACATGATCAGATATCATACATATCCCTCATCAACTTTTTACATCGCCCGACTGCTAAGGATTTTCGGCTTACATGCGATTAATCCTCTTATCTATGGACTGGGGGACAGAAAACTTCTAATCTTTTTGAGAAATTGCCGAAGAAAGAAAGCAAATGTTTGTCAGGATACCAAAATTGAAAAAAACGTTTGATATTTTTATGGTGACCTTACGTGCTGTGTATTTCCTTAAAGTGAAACTGAATTCTGTTTTTAATAGATGTACGACTGTAGTAAATAAGTAAGTATTTTTATGAACCAACTGAAGACAAGTTATCAAACATTTTTACCTATCTCTGTTTTCATTCACGTATTGACTCGTGCCTTTACCATTATCCTGTAGCTCATTTAATAGAAGTTTTGTATAATCACTTGACGTTGTTGATGAATGTTTATATATACTATGACTTTAATGCTTCATTTGTAATAAACACTTACTATAAAGAATTAACGAGCTTTTACTTCTCATAAGGGTCTATGCAACATTATAACAAATGTTGAAGAAAAGGTTGCCCTCGAATACGTCACATTCATTTGAGCTGTTCCATAAACTCATACTACTTTATTCATAGATAATTCATATTTTATAATTTTTGAGTAGCAGTAACAAACTCGAAACATGTTTGCTTTTAAAAAAATCGTCGTTTTTATTTAAAGATTTTTAATTCATATTTATCCAATTTGAAAAACTATTGCGAAATGAGTCATTATTAGCTTCAGTTTGTGTCGTTAAGTTCCTTCAGCGAAAATGATAAAAACTTAAAGTGTTTATGCAGTAAAACTTTCATATACTTTTTTGTAGCCTTAATAAAATATACAGATGTTAGAATTTTAACAATACACGTCGTTAATCCCGTTATCTATGGACGGCTTGATAAAAAACTTCTGATCTTGGCAGAAATTGCTGAAAAAAGAAAGCAATATTATTCTGAATGCTATCATTGAAAGGAACGAAAGATTTTCTTATACACTGGACTTACTACGTACAGTAAATCTCTTGAATGTAAAGAGTGTTGTTTTGGTTGATGTAGGACTGTAGCAAATTTAGTAAACATTAGATTAATGATCAAACAAATGAAGCCTAAACATTAAATGTTTTTTTCACTTATGTTTGAATGAACAGATCATTTTCATCGATAGTATTTTACAACATCACTCTGTTTTCACAATATTAAGCCCTTATTAACCGAGCTCTCGAGGTCTTTACGGAGAAATATCGTTTTTTTTGCAAAGACCAAGGGCTCGGTAATGAACAAGGGAGGCGACTGTTGGGGAATCTTTATCATCAAAAGTTATCATATGAAACTTTGGTTTATTTTATTTAATAAATGTTTTAGTTCAGAATTTTGTTTTAATATGAGTAAAGTACAATAGTGACATTTTAAATTATATATCTAAGCAATTACACTCTTATATTAAATTACCTTTCTTTGAGGCGAGAACGCAAGTAATTAAATATCACGTAGCAGCCTTATAATAAAATATGAACTATAAACTATTAACTATTAATAAACTATTATAAACTATTAATAGCCAACCTGCAGCCTTCTGATTTGTATTATAACCAACGTTTTTCTTTATATAAGGGTGCTTCTGGTCATTTGACGACCAATATTAATTCACTAATTTGTACTCTAACAGGCGACTGACAGTGAAACATGGCGTATGAAATACATCCAATCATTGTGACACTTACTTTTCCAATTGCCATATTTGGCATAATTGCAACTTTCTTGTTATCATTTCAATGTAAGACGTAGTTAGTTGACGCGCAGCTACTACTTTGTTGTTCTACATCTTGCCATTTGTGATCTTATGTGGCTTGTTATCAACTCTGTGCAATTAACGAAAAAACATTTTGTGAAAGACGTTGCCCATGATGAAACATCGTGTTTTTGTGAAAACAGGATACTTGCTTGCGGCCGCAGGAGTTCTAGTAATGTTGATAATCGCAATTCAACGTAATCTCAACATTGCTCAATTGCTTGGAATTTTAACAACAAAATTGCAATGAAAGACTGTTTCGGTTGATGTACGATCAGTACAAATCAAGCAACTAACGTCATGTGAATTGCTCTATGTATCTAGTTTTCTAACCTATAGAATGTATATCTTCAATGAAAACACTTCCACAGAAATCTTTCGATGGACTTGCTATGAAGCTATACCACAATTCAAATGTGTGTGTTTCTGTTGCAGGGGGGGGGAACACTTTATTCGAGAACTGTCGTTGCAAGATAATCTGTAACTAAAAATACAGTCAGTTACAGACAAACATTCAGACCATTAAGCAGTGAGTGGATTGAAAATATTATTTTTGAATAGTTATGAGATGTTTTTTGAAGACCTGCTCAGTGAGCTTGATTGAGCTTATACGTAAATCGTGGCAGAAACAAAACAGACAGAATATGAGACAGTCATGAAAGCACAGCAAAGGCAAAACTGCATTTAACTATAAATTAAGCTACACTCTACAGACATTTAAAATCCATCCGGCATTAAATATTATAAAACATACGCAATATAATGCGTGCGCTAGTTAGTTTATAGCTGTGTTTGCGTAAGCCTGAGCTCAACCAATTAAATTAATCCATAAATCAATCCATCAATCAATCAAAGAGAATTTGCAAATCAATCATGAATAACTCTGTGAGAACTCTTGAGCAGGTGTAACTTTCAACCTTCAGTCTCAGAATTGCACTGATCTACTCTCATCAAAGGTCTCCTTGGTTCGCACAAGCCTGTGCAAACACAGTACACATCCTTTATTACTTAAACAATTTTAAAATTTTAGTACACTTTCACTATGTTTAAAAGTTACTTCTACTGCCTTACAGTTAGAAGAGGTCTTTTTATTTCGCTCTTCTAGAACACACTATCAAGGAATCCGACATCCTCTGAAAAAACACATTGTTTGCGCATTTTCACTTGAGAGCAGCAGCGTCTTGCCATTATTGAAACCCAAAATAAAACAATCCACTGCATAAATGCCAATATATAATTGTATAGCAAACGTGATCATGCTGGAACCCTTAATTGAAAATATTCATTTAATTTTTGAAACGTTAGAATTGGGCACCATTAATAAAGGCAGTTGTGACTACTCCTCGTTAAATTACATAAAATACCCATTTATTTTCAGAGATACCTACACTTTTGACAAAAATATCTTGTCGATGTAACGGTGATGAAAATGATTCAACTGGTCAAAAACCTTGATAACCTATTTACCTATAATACCTGCGCTGAATTTGCCATGCAATTTCAGCACATTGACCCTATAATTAGTGCTTTTCAACAGCGAAGACAGGTGGTAAATTTGCACAATATAAAGATTACGTGTTCACAGCCATTAATATTGTTAAAGTAACATTTCCTATTATCTCCCTGATTGGTTTTGCTGGTAACTGTTCTTTATCGATCTCTATTTTACTTCAAACATACAAAACCAAAGACTGACCGCATAGCATCTCAAAATCGGTAATCAATTCTTAATTCAGGGGAAGTCATTATCCAATGCTACAACGAGCTAGACAATACAGCCAGTGGAAGGTCATTCGAGCGGCGCTTCACATATTCAAATGCATGCCAAACAGCTAATATTACAATCAGTACTTCTTTTACAGGGGACAGACCACAACGTTCAAAACATGGAACAGAATATCCATCCAATCGTCATTAAACTTACGATGCCTATCGCCATATTGGGTATCATTGGCAATTCAATTGTTATCATCTCGATATTACGACGACGAAACCGATCGACGAGCAACTACTACTTCGTTGTTCTACATCTTGCCATTTGCAACGATTTTTGGCTGTTTCTACACTTTGTGCATTTGATCCAGTTACAACATAAAATAGAAGTTGTGCATGATCCCGTATACTGTCCCATTTTCGCAATATCTGTCTCGTTTTCCGAAGCCGGATGTCTAGCGATGGTTACCATTTCAGTTTTACGCTATCGTGCAACAGCACAACCATTTAAAAACCCCGTCAGTCGAAGGACGTTGAAAGTTCTTTGTGCCTTGATGTACATTGTATCGTTCATTATAAACTACGCGACAGTCCTACCTTACTGTTTGGGTATCGAGGACCAAATTTGGCTGAACATACTTATGGGCGTATTTATCTTTGGTTTTTCCTTCTTCGCTACGTTTATGATGGCGGTCATTTATTGCAAAATAGCTCGAATTCTTTTCCACGAAAAAAACATTTTCCCAGAATCCTATGATCAGAATGCATTGGCCACTTCGTTCAGCAGACAAAGATATCGCCGAAATCGTAAGATATTCGTTGTTTGTATCATGACAGTGATCTTCTACGCAATTGGAAATGCTCCTATCGCCATTGCCTCGTATTTTCAACAAGAAAGGACGCATCGCCTTTGTTTTTTGACATAAGCCGCTTTCTTAGAATTGTTACAACTCATGCTATCAATCCCTTTATCTATGGATTTTTGGACAGAAAACTGATGAAATTTTGGAAAAATTGCCGAAAAAGAAGGTAAATGTCGTACTTTCTGTTCCAGTGAAAATCAACAAGCGTTTCAAAATATTCTGTACTGCAGCCTAAAGAATTGGTGGACTTGCCATTTACGGGAAGATGAACTAAAGTTATCGTGTAACTTTAGTGAATCGGATAATCTTTGTGATTGAGCAAAATTGAAACTTTCTACTTCTAAATTTCAAGATTTCCAGACTGTCAAAGGAAACTTACTAGGATGAAGCTGCACGCACTCTATCATTTATACGTCAAGTACATCTTCAACTCGTGAGATGCAGCTATAAGTTAAACATGTCAATCGCCAATTATAGATGCAAAGCTGAGAGCAATTTACAGAGGCTTTCGTTAAAAATGGCTGTGAATTTTTCTCGTTTCATAAAGATCCCGGTTCTCATGTGGACAGCTACTTATACTCACCGACATCTTAAGATTTCTCCATGTGCGCTGTTATGTGAGAAGAAAACGAATTGCTTGAAACCTCGTAATCTTTTTTATACCTGGGGAGTAGTTGCCATGCAATTTGAGCATAGTGTTCTATAATTAGTACTTCTCAATAGCAAAGGCAGGTGATCAATTTGCACATTATAAAAATTATATATACAAAGCCGCTAATGTTGTTAAAGTAACGTTTTCTATATTGCCCACCAATATATCTTATTGTCCAACTTGTGTTCTTATTTCCCTCTGTGTAACTGTTCTTAAATAGACCCCGTCATGTTTCAAACATAGCTACAAGATCGATTTTACAGTATTCCTTTCGAATAATGAAGATATGTCATAATCCGAGATTATTTCTCTTTGATGAAGTTAGTTTGCCTTGCAGCCTATATATATAGGAGCCATAAACTCGTTAATATAGAAAAAACCTCAAGCTCTAACTGGAAATTTCTTTCGCCAGTTTAATAAAAATGAGAAGAATGCGAAATTTCTCATCAAATCACATCTGACAGTGCAGTAGTCGTCATCATTTTAGATGTCAACAATCCCCAACAATTTCTGTAGTTCATGGTAATGGTTTGCGCGCTTAGCCATGCACTGGGAGCCATTTTCTTATTAAAGGACAATTTCTGTAGTTCTACAAACACACAAAATCGAACCCCACACCAAACACTTAAAGAGTGAGTGTCATGGTAATGCTTTGCGCGCTTAGCCATGCACTGGCAGCCATTTTCTTATTAAGGGACAAATTCTGAAGTTCTACAAACACATGAAATCGAACCCCACCCCAAACACTTAAAGAGTGAGTGTCATGGTAATGCTTTGCACGCTTAACCATGCACTGGCAGCCATTTTAGGGGTAGCCTTACATTACGTAAGTTTGTAGCGGTTTGCACTACAGCCTGTTCTTCATGATCAGGTTGTTGAACTGGTGATCCGTAATAGTTTAAATTGTCTTCATCTTCCTAAAGCAATCCCGTCAAGTCTGGGTCTTATTTAAATTCCAGCATTTTTGTGCAATATTGTAGTTAATTAATTATACCACTCTGTATTCTATAGCGGAATTTCATCGACAGATGTAAACAGAAGCGCGCAAAGCATTACCGTGACACACATTCTTTAATCCTATAGTTCTAGGTTATGGCGGACATCATGAAAAGAGATTGGATTATGGGGATCAATTTTGGATACTACTGCGAAATTACTAAACAAATATAAATTATTATTTTCTTTCCACTTAAAACTCGAGAATGCAACCATTCAATAAATAGATTTATCCATGTTATTGACTGAGACCATAATTACTGACAAATTCTCATATTATTTCTTTTAATGTTCAATATCCTTAGCCTTCTTCGTTTGCTTCCATTATAGCAGCTCGACAAACAATAAAATGCAATCTAGCAGTTTCATAAAAACCTTCCTGCAAACTTGATCAAGGGCGGATGAAATCCACGTAATGCAAAATAATCCCCAGAAAATCTTATAGGATCTTGTAGGATCCTAAGGTTAGATCATACGTTAGATCCCCATAGGATCCCCTGTAAGATCTTGTGCTAGATCTTATTGATATATACTTGTAGGCTCTTATTTAAGATCATCATAGGATTTTATTAAAGATTCTTAAGATCAAATAAGATTTTAAAGGATGTTATATAAAATCCTATAAGATCTCAAGTAAGATCCTATAACATTTTGCAGGATTCTATTGTAGAATCTTACGAAAGATCCTGATAGGATCCTTTATAAGATTTCTGTAAGATCTTATTAATATCAAAGCGGGATCTTATTTAAGATCCTAAAGATCGTAAAGCATCTAAAATAAGATTCAAAGACCCCATAAGATATAAATTAAGTATCGATAGGATCGTATAGGATCTTCCGGGATCTTACGGTAAATTTTGTGTAAAATCCTAATAGGATCCAGAATGGGATTAAGCGTAATATAGTTTCTAAGATCTTCACAAGATATTAGCAAGAAGATTTCTACCAGGGAAACAAAAGGTGTTTTAACAGAAGGACTTCAAACTCAAAGTTCCTTGTCGTAAAGATTGAAAAGAAATACAAGAAATACATTTTTCAGAGTTCATAATAAACACCAGTACATTCAAATACCTTTTAGTTCAACATCGGGAGAAAACGAGAATTTCGGGACATTCATGTTTTCCACACTTTGTGTGGTCCTAGATTGTACCTATATAAAAGATGAAAACCCCCTTCCGTTAAGTAGAAGTTATTAAGCATGCTAGAATATTTGCAATCGCAAAAATCTAAAATACAAGTTAGCTGTTCTTCAAACGAGTGACTAACAGATGTCAGCAGCGTTACCATCACTGCCAGTTTGAGCAAAATGAATTATTTAGGAAAGTTATGGGCTTGTTTCTTCATTACTTACTTTATTTTCGAACGGGTGCATATTAATAACATCGGAAAAAATTCAAACATGTATCTTCTGATCAATGACAGTTCTACTGCATATGAAATATTCTCCATCTGATCAACGATAGTGCTAGTGTATATTAAACACGCATCTCCTGATCAACGATAGTGCTAGTGTATATGAACCATGCATATTCTGATCAAAGATAGTGCTATTTTAAATGAAATATACATCTTCTGATCAACGAGAGTGCTAGTGTATATGAAATATTCTCCATCTGATCAATGATAGGGCTAGTGTAAATGAAACATGCATCTTATGATCAATGACAGGGCTAGTGTATATGAAATATACTCCATCTGATCAATGATAGGGCTAGTTTAAATAAAACATGAATCTTGTGATTAAGGATAAGGCTAGTGTATATGACATAAGCTCCATCTGATCAATGATAGGGCTAGTGTATATGAACCACGCATCTTCTGATCAACGATAGTGCTAGTGTAAACAAAATATGCATCTTATGATCAACGATAGTGTTAGTGTATATGAAATATGCATTCTCTGATCAACGATAGTGCTAGTGTATATAAAATATGCTCCATTTGATCAACGATAGTGCTAGTGTAAATAAAATATGCATCTTCTGATCAACGAGAGTGCTAGTGTAAATGAAATATGCATCTTGTGATCAACGATAGTGCTCGTGTATATAAAATATGCATCTTGTGATCAACGATAGTGCTAGTGTATATGAAACATGCATCTTGTGATCAACGATAGTGCTCGTGTATATAAACTATGCTCCATCTGATCATCGATAGTGCTAGTGTAAATGAAACATGCTCCATATGACTAACGATAATGCTAGTGTATATGAAATAAGCTACATCTGATCAATGATAGGGCTAATGTAAATGAAATATGCTCCATCTGATCAATGATAGTGCTAGTGTAAATGAAACATGCATCTTATGATCAACGATAGCGCTAGTGTTTATGAAATATGCTCCATCTGATCAATGATAGTGCTGGTGTAAATGAAACATGCATCTTGTGATCAACGATAGTGCTCGTGTATATAAAATATGCTCCATCTGATCATCGATAGTGCTAGTGTAGATAAAACAAGCATCTTATGATCAACGATAGTGCTAGTGTATATCAAATATGCTCCATCTGACTAACGAAAGTGCTAGTGTAAATAAAATATGCATCTTCTGATCAACGATAGGGCTAATGTAAATGAAACATGCATATTGTGATCAACGATAGTGCTCGTGTATATAAAATATGCATCTTGTGATCAACGATAGTGCTAGTGTATATGAAACATGCATCTTGTGATCAACGATAGTGCTAGTGTATATAAAAGATGCTCCATCTGATCAACGATAGTGCTAATGTAAATGAAATATGCATGTTGTGATCAACGATAGTGCTAGTGTAAATGAAACAATGCATCTTGTGATCAACGATAGTGCTGGTGTATATAAAATATGCTCCATCTGATCAATGATAGGGCTAGTGTAAATGAAACATGCATCTTATGATCAACGATAGTGCTAGTGTATATGAAATATGCTCCATCTGATCAATGATAGGGCTAATGTAACTGAAATATGCTCCATCTGATCAATGATAGGGCTAGTGTAAATGAAACATGCATCTTATGATCAACGATAGCGCTAGTGTTTATGAAATATGCTCCATCTGACTAACGATAATGCTAGTGTATATGAAATATGCTACATCTGATCAATGATAGGGCTAATGTAAATGAAATATGCTCCATCTGATCAATGATAGTGCTAGTGTAAATGAAACATGCATCTTTTGATCAACGATAGTGCTAGTGTATATGAAATATGCTCCATCTGATCAATGATAGTGCTGGTGTAAATGAAACATGCCTCTTATGATCAACGATAGTGCTAGTGTATATGAAATATGGTCCATCTGATCAATGATAGGGCTAATGTAACTGAAATATGCTCCATCTGATCAATGATAGGGCTAGTGTAAATGAAACATGCATCTTATGATCAACGATAGCGCTAGTGTTTATGAAATATGCTCCATCTGACTAACGATAATGCTAGTGTATATGAAATAAGCTACATCTGATCAATGATAGGGCTAATGTAAATGAAATATGCTCCATCTGATCAATGATAGTGCTAGTGTAAATGAAACATGCATCTTATGATCAACGATAGCGCTAGTGTTTATGAAATATGCTCCATCTGATCAATGATAAGGCTAGTTTAAATGAAACATGCATCTTTTGATCAACGATAGCGCTAGTGTTTATGAAATATGCTCCATCTGATCTATGATAGCGCTAGTGTATATGAAATAAGCTCCATCTGATGAATGACAAGGCTAGTGTAAACGAAACAGGCATCTTATGATCAACGATAGTGCTAGTGTAAATGAAATAAGCTCCATCTGATCAATGATAGGGCCAGTGTAAATGAAACATGCATCTTATGATCAACGATAGCGCTAGTGTTTATGAAATATGCTCCATCTGATCAATGATAGGGCTAGTGTAAACGAAACATGCATCTTGTGATCAACGATAGTGCTAGTGTATATAAAAGATGCTCCATCTGATCAACGATAGTGCTAATGTAAATGAAATATGCATGTTGTGATCAACGATAGTGCTAGTGTAAATGAAACAATGCATCTTGTGATCAACGATAGTGCTGGTGTATATAAAATATGCTCCATCTGATCAATGATAGGGCTAGTGTAAATGAAACATGCATCTTATGATCAACGATAGTGCTAGTGTATATGAAATATGCTCCATCTGATCAATGATAGGGCTAATGTAAATGAAATATGCTCCATCTGATCAATGATAGGGCTAGTGTAAATGAAACATGCATCTTATGATCAACGATAGCGCTAGTGTTTATGAAATATGCTCCATCTGATCTATGATAGTGCTAGTGTATATGAAACAAGCTCCATCTGATCAATGATAGGGATAGTGTAAATGAAACATGCATCTTATGATCAACGATAGTGCTAGTGTATATAAAAGATGCTCCATCTGATCAACGATAGTGCTAATGTAAATGAAATATGCATCTTGTGATCAACGATAGTGCTAGTGTAAATGAAACATGCATCTTGTGATCAACGATAGTGCTGGTGTATATAAAATATGCTCCATCTGATCAATGATAGGGCTAGTGTAAATGAAACATGCATCTTATGATCAACGATAGTGCTAGTGTATATGAAATATGCTCCATCTGATCAATGATAGTGCTAATGTAATGAAATATGCTCCATCTGATCAATGATAGGGCTAGTGTAAATGAAACATGCATCTTATGATCAACGATAGCGCTAGTGTTTATGAAATATGCTCCATCTGACTAACGATAATGCTAGTGTATATGAAATATGCTACATCTGATCAATGATAGGGCTAATGTAAATGAAATATGCTCCATCTGATCAATGATAGTGCTAGTGTAAATGAAACATGCATCTTTGATCAACGATAGTGCTAGTGTATATGAAATATGCTCCATCTGATCAATGATAGTGCTGGTGTAAATGAAACATGCCTCTTATGATCAACGATAGTGCTAGTGTATATGAAATATGCTCCATCTGATCAATGATAGGGCTAATGTAACTGAAATATGCTCCATCTGATCAATGATAGGGCTAGTGTAAATGAAACATGCATCTTATGATCAACGATAGCGCTAGTGTTTATGAAATATGCTCCATCTGACTAACGATAATGCTAGTGTATATGAAATAAGCTACATCTGATCAATGATAGGGCTAATGTAAATGAAATATGCTCCATCTGATCAATGATAGTGCTAGTGTAAATGAAACATGCATCTTATGATCAACGATAGCGCTAGTGTTTATGAAATATGCTCCATCTGATCAATGATAAGGCTAGTTTAAATGAAACATGCATCTTTTGATCAACGATAGCGCTAGTGTTTATGAAATATGCTCCATCTGATCTATGATAGCGCTAGTGTATATGAAATAAGCTCCATCTGATGAATGACAAGGCTAGTGTAAACGAAACAGGCATCTTATGATCAACGATAGTGCTAGTGTAAATGAAATAAGCTCCATCTGATCAATGATAGGGCCAGTGTAAATGAAACATGCATCTTATGATCAACGATAGCGCTAGTGTTTATGAAATATGCTCCATCTGATCAATGATAGGGCTAGTGTAAACGAAACATGCATCTTGTGATCAACGATAGTGCTAGTGTATATAAAAGATGCTCCATCTGATCAACGATAGTGCTAATGTAAATGAAATATGCATGTTGTGATCAACGATAGTGCTAGTGTAAATGAAACAATGCATCTTGTGATCAACGATAGTGCTGGTGTATATAAAATATGCTCCATCTGATCAATGATAGGGCTAGTGTAAATGAAACATGCATCTTATGATCAACGATAGTGCTAGTGTATATGAAATATGCTCCATCTGATCAATGATAGGGCTAATGTAACTGAAATATGCTCCATCTGATCAATGATAGGGCTAGTGTAAATGAAACATGCATCTTATGATCAACGATAGCGCTAGTGTTTATGAAATATGCTCCATCTGACTAACGATAATGCTAGTGTATATGAAATATGCTACATCTGATCAATGATAGGGCTAATGTAAATGAAATATGCTCCATCTGATCAATGATAGTGCTAGTGTAAATGAAACATGCATCTTATGATCAACGATAGTGCTAGTGTTTATGAAATATGCTCCATCTGATCAATGATAGGGCTAGTGTAAA